TCCTTCCTTCCTTCCTTCCTTCCTTCCTTCCTTCCTTCCTTCCTTCCCTCCCTCCCTCCCTCCCTCCTTCCTTCCTTCCTTCTTCCCTCCCACCCTCCCTCCCTTCCTGCCCTTCTTTCCTCCCTCTTTCTTCTTTCTTCCTTTCTTTCCAACAGTGTTTCTCTTTGTAGCCCTGGCTGTCCTGGACTCACTTTGTAGACCACACAGACCTTGATCCACCTGCCTCTGCCTCTCTGAGTGCCAGGATTAAAGGTATGCACCACCACCATGGTTAGTGTTTCTTGGAACTCCAGAGACGTTGAACCAGTCTCTGTCCTTTCTGGGTGTAGTTATGGGTATATTAGCCAAATGTGGCTGTTGTGCTAGGGACAGTTACTTGTTTCTCACTGTTCTTTGGTGCATACCCTTTTGAGTAATAGAATTATTAGGTGCTGTAAACAACGTTTTCCAATCAAGTCTGTCTCTTTTTTTAATAGGATTTTTCTTTTTGGTGCCATGGATTCAAACATACCTTTTCTGATGACTGTAATTACTTCTAAGCTGAAAAAACCCTCACTCCCAACCCCATTATTTTCTTGTTTTGTCTTTGTTTTTTTTTTTTTTTTTTTTTTTGGTAGTGCTGGGAATAAAACTCAAGATCTCACACACTAAACAAGTGGTCTACCATTAAGCTATCTTTTACCTCTTCCCTGTCTTAATTAACAGTTAAAGGTGTTTGTTGTGGTGTGTTTTTTGGTGGTGTTGTTTTTGTTTTATCTCAGTCTTTTGCTGTTGGATGATCTTTACCTCCTCACCCCGTTGCTAACCTTTGTGTGAGCACTAGTGACTGACTAGTGCCTGCTTCTTTTTACACTGATGATGAAGGCATCTTCCTACCTGAGAAGACACTGAGATTCTAGTGCTTTGTATTAGTTTCTGTTTTCGTTTTGAAAAGTTGAAAAGCTAAAATCTTGTTTTTTCTCTTACTGTTTGGAACTTCTTTGTTACCACCATCACATGTTCATTGTTCTAGAAAAATTTTAGAGACTTGTGCTTTTCAAATGACCACTGGGATTTTTATTATAATTGGCATATTCTAGTGTATTAATTTGGCAAATTTCAGATAATTTATGCATCCAGGAACATCTGTGTTATCTGTCTTTCATAGTGAATTTATATATTTCTTTTCAAAATTAGGTTGGTTCTTTGCATGCACAAAAGCTTTTTTGTTACTGTTATATAATGTGTCATGGTTGGTTTGTAGAGATGTTGTTAACTCCAATCAGCTGTTTTGCTCTAGCATTTTGTAATTTGTGTTTGGTTTTTTAATTACAGTGACAATCCTGGCCGGTACCTGTTGGGTTAGTGTATCAGCAGGTATTTTAATACCATGGTACACTTTGAAATACGGTGTATTCTGTGTACCTCAGTTTCCCATGTTCTTGCAGTGCTAACCACCAAGCCTGGCGCCTCATGCAGGCCAGTAAGCGCCCACCAATCCCTGTTCTCCCGGCAGAGTCAGTCCGTGCACCAGGTGTTCTTGTTAATGGGCGTGTATAGCTTCAGAATTCACTGTGTAACAGGCTGCTGTAATTGAGGCTAAATCAGAAGGAAAAGAACAAAATGTATTTCAGTTTACTATTTTATAGGCTAAGGCTTTCCTGTCATAATAAAATTTTATTTTATATTTTGTAGTTTAAAGGATTTGATCCGAATCAACTAAGCGTAGCCACGTTACTGTTTGAGGGGGACCGTGAGAAGGTTCTTCAACATGAAAAACAAGTATATGACATCGCTGCAAAATTTGGGTATGGCTTTGCATTCGTAACCAAGAGCAAGTATGCTAAAGGTGTAGCAGCTTCCTAGAGACCGCATGTGCCAGCAGCTCTAATTTGGGCTGGCTATTATTCACTGTAATTTATGAAAGTAACCTTAAAATACCGTTTGTAATTCTAAAATTTGTAGAAAGAGTATTTGTTGCTTTGACCTAGTTTCATACATACGTATATACATACAGTATATGTGTGTATTATATAATGTTAAATATGTAGGAGTGATGTGTTACTTTTACCTCATTTTACATGTGTAATGTGAGTGCGTTATACAGTGTTAAATATTTTGCCTTCCTAGATTCTTGCATGAATGACAGTTTGTGATATGTTATTTGTTATCTAAGAATGAGACAAAATTGTCGGGTTACTAATTCATGTATAAAGCATGCTGCTAGTGTGTTTTTAAAAGGAAATTGTGTTTAGTCTGTGGTACTTGATAAATTATCTATACCCCACCCCCTGTCACTTACTGTTTTATGTTGGTATAAAGAACCAGAAAACACTTTGCATCTGTAAGCGACTGACTAATGGTAGGGTGGCTTCTGTCGGCGTGATGGATTATAAGGTGGTGAGTGGGCGCTCCTGTGGGAACGCTGTTTGTTAGGGCCGAGTCCCTCCCTTCTCAGGGCGGAAGCCAGCAGTCTCTGCCCTGGTCTTTTCCGTCTGTCCAGGGCTTAGGGCCTACCTCACATTAAGCTAGCTTTAAACTCTGTAAACAGTTATCTTCTTTCCATTCTTTTTGTCCTAAAAACTCACTTCTGTTGGAGATAAGTGCTTAAACAATGTCCCAACTTGTGTGTATGTTAACTTAGCTCTTTATTTCTATGATTGTCTGAAATTAGCATTAAAATACTGCCTTAGAGTGAAACCAGTCTAATTTTAGACTCAGTTTCTACTTTGAGCACTGAAAATAAGTTCCTTTTTTATATTTGTTCTATTCTGAAATTACAAGCAGAATTTTAATTTTCTTAGTAAAAAATCAAGTTCACTCCTTTTTTCTCTGATTTTCCATGATTATTGTTGTTCTTTTTTGAACTGCTGAAGTTCTAAGATACTTAGTATCTAAGTGAATGTCAGGTCTCTTTTGTCTCTTTAGGTTTTGAATTGTACAGATTTTCTTCTCCAGAATAAATAATTGTGTGCTTGTATTTTCTAGTTTCTAAGTTATATGGAATACAAATATAATTTGATTAAAAGACTTTTTTTTCTCTTTAAAAAAGTTAGTCAGAAAAGATTTAAGCTAATTTTTTTCTGTATCTGCTCTAGCATTGAAATATTAGAAGCTGAAGCTTTTTTTTAATTACGTACTTCTACTTGATTTGAGTAAGAAACAAAAGCCTTTAAGAGCTGAATAAATCCGCCTTTCAGTAGTCATGATAGATGCTGTGACATTTCCCATATAACTTAGGCAATTCCTTCTCGTTATTTTGCAGCCTTCTTAGGTCATTTGATCTGATTCAGCATGGGAGGGGTTAGTTTGGCCAGATGGCCCTTTTACACAAAATGAGAGCCTGGCTTTCCTCTTCGTTAAGTTACCTACTCCTTCTTTAAATATGTTTAAGAACCTTGTGGATTGGTGTTTGAAATTTGTGGAAATAACAAGAGGTAGATGACGGATACTCTGTTTAGAAATAAGGCAGTTTGAGTCTAAATGTAATATTTAGAATGGCTACAAAATTGACAGGAGAAATATCTCATTTCTGAGTTTTGAGATTGATTACATATTATAAACATAAATATATCTTAATTTGATTTTGGCTAAATTGACAGACAGTTCTGAAACCATGAAAAGGAAAGGTTCCAACAGCTAAATTTGCAAGAAAACTTATGATTAGAAAAGTTAGGCCCAAATTGCCCTTTGTTCTCTTTCAGGGCTTATGAATATAGGATGGATGTCCAGCTACAGGTTTTATTGTTGTGTTGTTCCTTGCTTCGTATTTTATTATTTTTAAATTTGAATACATGTGTATGTGTGTGTTCAGTAAATATGTGCACTTGGTAGCCACTGAAGCCATTTGTCAGTTTGCCCAGAGCTAGTTACAGGTGGTAGCCACACTGCCCCTCTCCAAAGGCAGTGAACTCATTCACCTGCTGAGCCGTTTCCCTAGCCCCTTCCGAGTTTTAAAACAATCATGTTTCTATCGGGTTTGTCCCACTGGATCCCAGTGTGGAGTGGGTTATCTACTACCAGGTAGTAGCAGAGGATTGAAAGGAAGTGGCTGTGGTCAGCAAAGTAGACGTCATCTTCCCCAGGGAAGCACACGGGCTTCTTCCCACCACGTACCTTTGGCGTGCTCTGTCTCAGAGGTTCTCAGTTTTGCAGCAACCCTGGGCGTCATAGTTTTTCCACCCTACCAGCTCGTGGACGTTGCTTTACTTCCTAGCTCAGTACTGTCTGGTCTCCGTAAGCCCTAGAGCCTGGCTCTGTTTTGTGTTTAGTCAAGTTAGAAGCCCACCTGCATTCCTCAGTCTCACCACAGCAAGTTTGTGACTTTAGAACTTTATTTGGCTCTCTGCATCAGCCTCATATCCAACACAGGATTAACTTTTCATGTTGAGTGATTTGACCTGAGCTGTATCTTGCTGGTTTGTTAGCACTGTGTTTATCAAATGATGTCTTTCATTTTGCCCCAGTCTTAGTGATTTTAGAGTAGAGCTGCTCTGTCAGTTCTTTGCATCTTCAGTTGACTTTGGCTGGATTCTGCAAGCAGGTTTCTTCTGGATGTCCCTAATAACCATGTGTAATTGTGAATTTAAAAATACAAGGAATGGGCTGGAGTGGTGGCTCAGTGGTTAAAAGCACTGTCTACTCTTCAAGAGGACCCAGGTTCAATTCCCAGCACCCATAGCTCACAGCTGTCTGTAACTCCAGTTCCAGGGGATTCAATACCCTCACACAGACACACATTAAGACAAAACACCAATGCACATAAAATAAAAATAAATTAAAAAATTTAAAAAATCCAGGGAATTCTATTTAAGCCTGGGTTTTAGCTGGAAACAGTCTTAAAATACCTGTGTAGAACAAATATTGTTATTGTATTATACATTATATATTACACATACATATAATATTATGCATTATACATTGTTACTATATTATGGCCATCAAGTCAAACAAAACAGAAAAAAATCAAGTCAAACAAAATTCAGGAAAAAAAAAAGAATTATAAAATGTCAATTGAGGCTATAAGAAAAGTGGTTCTTTTAATTAACTAAAATGAAATAAAGTTTAACTTTTGTCTGATCATAGGAAAAGTATAAGTAGAATCTTTTCTGAAGAAGGTAGTAGAAGACAGTAGTTGTGGGATATCTTTTAAAAAGCTTAAAATTTTTTATTTTTTTAATGTGTATGAATGTTTTGCCTGCATATATATGTGTGTATACACACACACACGCATGCAAGCACGTGCTAAAGAGCACCTGAAGCTAGAGCTACAGGTGGTTGTGAGATAGCGTGTGGGTGCTGGGAACTGAAACCTGGTCCTCTGCAAGAGCAACAAGTGCTTTTAACCACTGAGCATCTCTCCAGATCCTCATTCAATATCTTTTAAATTAAGAACTTTGGCAAACCAGAAAACTAGGATGAGATTATATGATATACACAATAAGTCTAACTGAGTCGCCTAACACAATAGTTATATCTGTGGATAAAACTATTTAGGTTGAGAGTTCATATACACATTCATAATATTAACATTTAAGGTGCTGTTCTGTACTCACCCACATATTGCATAGTGAACTTGAACACTTCTGTGTGTTTTATCTCCTCTTTAAACAATGAATTCATGAACCAAATATATGTTTGAGAGCTGTTTGTTATTTGGGAATTCCTAGTCAGTAAGCACACCTTTTTATATATAAGACTCTATGTGAGTATCAGAATAAAAATCTAATGATGGTTCAGGATCCCTCATGTTTAGGACCAGAAGTATTTCAGGTTTTGGAGTTCTTCCGATCTCTATTTATGCACTGAGATATCTTGAGGATGAACCATGTGTTTAAGCCTTTGTTTTAGGTCTGCTTTATATAAATAAGCTGTAGTTAATTTTATAGTATTTTTGGTATACCTAGCTTTTATGCAGCCCACTGGGTAAAGTCCATCTCGGACTCTTCCACTGTGGCGTTCTATAGCAGCACAAAGTTATGAACTTTGTAGCATCTTGGATTCAGATTTTCAGATTAGGGATACTCAGCTGATATGGGTAAAATAAGAATAAAGCATCTCGTTAGTTTTGTGAAGGCCAAGTTGATCTGAGTTTGTTTATTACTGCTAACACTTTCTCTGCTCTTAAGATTTGGAGATGTAGTTGAGATCATGAGTTCATTTAGCTTGGAGAATAAATGTTTGGAATCAAGTGATTAGACTAATATTTTTAAAAAAGTGTTTTCAGATTTGTTAGTCAAGCTTATTCTCTTTATAACTGGTATGCTAATGATTAGTGAAATTAAGATAAAATGAGTATAACATGTTAATCTGTTGAGCAGTTTATTTTGAGATGTTTTTATTTTTGTTTCTTTACTTAGAATGTGTTGACAGCTTGTGTCTTATCCACAGAGGTCTGGCAGCTGGAGAAGATAATGGGCAGAGGGGGTACTTGCTGACTTACGTCATTGCATACATGCGTGTAAGTTGCATTTCTGTCCTTGGTTGTCTTAACAACTTTCCTATTGCTGTGACAAAACACCATGATCTAGGAAGGCATCATATAAAAGAAGACATTTAATTTGGGGCTCACAGTTGCTTGCAGGGGATTAGAGTCCATGGCCGTCATGGCAGGAAACATGGCAGCAGGCAGGCCAGCAGGCGTGTCACTGGAGCAGTAGCCAAGCTCTTATTCTGATTATCCACAAATAGGAGACAGAGAGAGCTAACTGGGAATGGCATAGGCTTTTGAAGCCTGAAAGCCTACCCTCAGGGACACACCTCCTCCAACAAGGCCACACCTCCAAATCCTTCCCAAATAGTTCTGCTAACTGGGACCAAGCATTCAAATATATGGGCAGGCGTTGGGTGTATGGGGGAGATAGTCTCATTTATAACCACATTGACTGAGATTATAAACAGTACTCTTTCTTGCTTAGAATGAATAAAATTGCCGTATTTTCATAAACCTTAAGCTACTGTAATTCAGCTCATCATTTTACTTGAACCCTGGACTTTTCCGAAGCCCCCTGTAAGACTCTTAGGTGTGCTTTTGAGGAACTTCGGTGATGGAATGTCTTTCAGCCATTTAAGAAATGGAGCCTGCCCCTGGCTGAAAGCTGAGTGTGCCTTTTCTAACATTACTTGTATTGGAGTCAAGCTATTCTCTGTGGCAACAGTCTTCACTCAATTTTTAATCCACCTTAAAGATTTATAAATCTTTATCCCTTCTTTAAAAGTTGTTACTTTATTCCAAGTAGTCACTTGTAATGATGATACAGGAGTCAGGAACTTGTGTTCGCGCATACAGACTTTCTTAATAAGTTTTTGAGTGGCTTCATTGCTCGCTCTTATTTCAAGTCCGTTATGGTCAGTGGTGGAAAACCAGCTTTTTGAGATTTTAGTTTTTCCTTGTTCATTTAGTCTTATTTTCCTATTTTGGTTGTAACAGACTCAAGGTTTCTGACTGAAACCTTATTTATTTTAAAGTTTAATTATTATTAACTTTAATGATCTTATCTAAAAAGAAATGTTGGAAAATTCGACTTTCCCAGGTGATAAATTTTCATATTTACTAGTTGGAAATTGTTTTGAGGGAAACATTTATAAAAAAACATACATAATTTTTAAAATTTCAAAAAGCATGAAGTATTCTCACTTCAGAATAATTTAGTCCTCATTAAGGTCTGTTTGTAGTGAATAGTCAGTTTTCAGCCCCCAAGATTCTTACAGGGTTAGCAGGCTGATGGCTTGTTCCCTTGTTAGAAATCCTGACCAGGAGAGGTGCAGGTCACAAGGGGAGTAGGTGACTAGGGTCACCTGTTTAGACTGTCACTATCCCAGGATCTTCCTAGAGGAAGCACTTGGAAACCTATAAAATTAGGTCTTTTCTGAGTATATTGCAGGATATAGATCCATAGTGTATTTCCCACAACACCGAGTTCAGAATTCTAGAAAATTAATGCAACTGTAATAAATATAGCATGGTGTACTTTGGAAGAAAGTGTTTCTAAGGTTCTAGTTAGTTTTGAGGGAGGCCAAGATAAAAGCAAGTTTATGGCTCTTTCTCTCTAACTTCATTTGCTTTATTTAAAAAAATGTTTAAAAAATAAATTATATTTATGGATTCGTGTTTGAGTATGTACATATGTGTAGGGCACATGTCACGATGTGTCTGGAGGAGAGTCTGCAGGAGTCAGCTCTCATCTTCCTTGTGGATCCTGGCTATCAAACTTGGGTCTTCAGGCTTGGCAATGACTGCCTTTACTGCTGCGCTGCCTTGCCAGGCCTATTTGCTTTACTCTTTAAAACCTTTTTCTAAGCTGGGTGAGGTGGCACATGCCTCTAATTCCAGCACTCTGGGAGGTAGAGGCAGGTGGATCTCTATGAGTCCAGCCTGGTCTACAAAGAGAGGTCAGGACAGCCAGGGCTGCATAGAGAAACCTTGTCTTGAAAAACAACAACAAAACCCTCCCAAAACAAACCTTTTTCTAGTGCATACTTTGACAGGACATGATTCCCAGACAAATGGGTATGTCCCACTGCAGCACTTGCTTTTAAACTTTTCTTTAAAGTTTTTAAAGGGCAAAACCACAAGCAGGGACTTAGATGCTTTGGCTTTACATGATTGGGTAAGGGATATTGACTTTTGAAATGATTGGTCCATTTTAGGTGCCAAGACCACAAACAGTTCTGGCCTGGCCATATGGGCCAGTTTCCTAGCAACTGTGTAACTAGTGGTCGGGGAAAGGCTGGCTTTTTTCCCTCCACAGGTGGCTGGCCATATCTCCATTTGCTGGCCTTTGTTCAGGCTTGTGCTTTAAACTTTAAAACAATACCCACTGATTTTTAATTCTTTGGTCTCTCACAGCAAATGCAGCCAGCAGTCTCCTCCAAGACACTGCGCCCGAAGCGTGTCTCTGTTCTCTCCAAACTGCTACATGCTACACTGTCTCTTTCTGGGCTCTCAAATTTATATTTTCAGAGCCCTAGACTATGCTCTTCTCCCTGCTGCACGAGGCCTAGGCAAGTTACCCCTGGCAAAAGCCACGCCTCGCATGAGACAATTAACATCAGCGGACAAACTATAGCCCAACTAAAATCCCACACCTGAGATCAAAACAAAAGCATATTTGCATAACTGAGTTTACAAAGAAGCCAAAACTTCCATTATATACCACTGATTTGGAGGTGTGTCCTCCCAACACACAGTGGAATTGAAGTGATTGTTTTTACTGTATTTTCTTTTTTGTTTGGTTTTGGTTTTTGGTTTTTCAAGACACAGTTTTTCTGTGTAGTCCTGGCCGTTTGAGAACTCGCTCTGTAGACTAGGCTGGAATTGAACTCAGGTCCACCTACCTCTGCAACTCAAGTGCTGGAATTAAAGGTGTGCACCACTAAACCTGCTGTATTTTCTAACCCTGTTTGAAAATAAAAGCTGATGTAAGAAAAATGCCCCCTATGCTGTTCTCTTGTTTTCTCACCTTGATGCTCAATTTTTATATTGACTATTTTACTATTTTGGCCACTAAACATTTATTCTCTAGTCTTTTCCACACACATATAAGCTTTTCCTCAATAGAGACTCCATTCGCTAGAGAAATATTTGATTTTCTTTTCTGTGTCAGATACTTTATTGGCTGCTGAGGCTATGGAGAGCACAGACCAAGTTCCTGTCCTCAGAGAGGTCACATCCACTTGGGAACTTGCCAGCCTCCTTAGGAGACAAAGAACAGTTTAGGTTAGATCAGATATGCACTGCTAACAATTTCTAGAAATTCTAGGGTTTTTGTTAATTATTACATCTGTTGGAATTTCATGATTTTTGTGTCTTTACAGGATTTGGGTCTGGAATACTATATAGTAGGAGAATCTTTTGAGACTTCTGCTCCCTGGGACAGGTAAAACCTAATTAAAAGGAGTTATTCTGCTACACTTTATAATTGATGCATTTATGTGGATATGTGATTTACCTGTATGTGAATATGGAAGGTTGAATTTTATAAGAAACACTGAAATAAGGAAGGTACTCTTGTTTAAACTAGACATGTGATGTGAATACCATTGATTTCAACCTTCACCCCGCCCCTTTCTGGATTAATGTCAATTTGCTTGGAATCTGACATACAGATATATTGAGGTTAACATTTTGAAAACTCTTACTAAACACAAAACTCTACTGTGTTTGGCTTAGCTTAGGTGAGTCATTACGCTTAAATCTTCTTTTGAAGGCCTTCCTCCCTTACCCCAAATTGTTAAACCTCTCAGCCTTCTTTTGTAATATAGCATTTAGATTTGATATGCGTATATAGATTTAACAAGATCTTCACTGATGTTTAAGTGGTTTCTGAAAGAAATCCAGTTAAAGATATTAAGCATAATTTCTGTTTTTAAATATAAGCAAAACTTTGGTACCAAAACACATTATAGAAAATGTCCTGGAAAGGACACATGGAAAGTATTGCCTGGGTTTCTTCACTGGAAACATACACATTCATACCCACGTACACTGGTACAGTGTAGGGAATCAGTGTAAAAGCTGTGAAGTACTTCATAAACATGCCCTTCTGAGTTAACTTTCAATAAGTGCTGGCAAAAGTCATCACTATATTTTATTTCCTTTAAACATACCTACATTTCCCTTTCCTTTATAAAATGTATGAACTCTTTTCATTCACTAGTGAAGTACATAGGCTACAGACGCTCCTCCTGAACCCACTGTTTAGGCATTAAACAGTTAACGTCTTGCTCTTCTTGTACCTCATTTTCCCCTCTGGAAAGCTTGTCTTTTCTGCATTGTCTTAATCTACTGTGGGCTTTGGCTTTTAGTGTACTGCTTGTCGTATTCCAAGAATTGTTTGAGATGGAGCTAGTTTGTAGGATCACTGTCATTCTCTCCCCAAAAAGTGCAGATTCCCCCTGCCCCAGTCTATATGATTCTGCCTGTCCTTGAACCTGCCATGTCGCCCAGAGAATTTGTGATCTTTTTGCCTCAGCCTCTGGCATTTAGATTAAATGCATGTACACCACAACCCTGCCTTTTTTTTTTTTTAATTTAAATTTATTTATTTATTTTTTACAACTTTTGAAAATACATTTTAACAAGGGGAATAAATCTTAACGATAAAAAGCATTGCTAGCCGGTCACTATTGAGTCCTTTGGAGCAGTAGTTTGTTTGACAGGCAACTCGTGGCAATGATATCAGAGATAACTTCAGTCTGTCATATGTCTCCTTGTCTTAGTATGGATTGCTATATTGTCTGCCATAAACTGGCTGGCTTACATGTTTTAAACTCAGTGTGATATCAGGGGTATTTGGGTATCTGGGTTGTTGGTGAAGGCCCTCTTGGTTATGAAAGACAGCCTTCTTACGTATCCTCATGTGGCTAAAAGCAAGCCTCCTCATGTCTGTCTCTCTGTTTGACATACCAATTCCTTTCATTAGCATTTTGCCCTCATAACCTTCCATAGGCAAGGCCCTGCCTCCTGATACACATCGCATGGTGTGAAGGGTGGATCAGTCATTGCAGTTTGAGGTGGACTCAGACCTTCAGTCCATTGTCAATGAGAAGTGGGTTCATATAGTGCTATCTCTTTAGCATTACAAATTTCCTTGTTGCCTGCTATTGTTCTCTCTTTATTCTAACTGTAGAGGCCGGTCAGTTAAACAAATATGTACATACATGAACTGATGAAGGAAAAATTAAAAATGCATAAGAAAACGCAATGTTTTATTCGACTGTCTTTTCTAGGGTTATAGACCTGTGTAGAAATGTAAAAGAGAGGATCAGAAGGGAATGCAAAGAAAGGGGGGTTCAGTTTGCACCCCTGTCTACATGCAGGTGAGTCCTCACGGCTACAGGTAGACTCTTTTCGGAAAGTGCTGCCTTTAAACTTCACTGTGATGGGGTGGGTGTGTGTACATGCAGGTGAGTCCTCACGGCTACAGGTAGACTCTTTCCGGAAAGTGCTGCCTTTAAACT